AGCAGGACACAGAGCAAACATAAACTACTCAACAGTCCTACTCTTGCAAACAAGAGGTCACCACAGGAAAGGCAGCTGCCCAAGGCACTCCCAGCTCGTAACGAAATTGTTCTTGGAATTGTAGGGAACAATGCAATTAGAGAGAACTGAGTCAAAACACCTTAGCTCAAAAAAATAGACTCTGTAGGTCAGAGAGTGTGTACTTTCCATTGAAAACCGAGAATTTTTTTCACTTCACTTGGCTGCTCCCCAAAATCATATGGGCTTTCCAGATCACATGTCAGGATACACTATCAAGTAGCTCAGCCAAATTTCTTTGCCTCCACATTCAAGAGCAGAGAAAGTACTTTGCGCCTTCCACCATTCTCCCTCCTTGTGCGAATTGCAGTTTTTTCTCAAATCAGCTCTGTCTCTCATGCCATACTGCTCCCAGCCAAGGAAGACAGCACCTTTTTACCACGTGACAAGCAACCGCTTTCTCCTATTTTAGATCTAAACTTAAATCCAAATTGGTATGCAATCTCTCTTTACATTATCAAAACTTGCCAAGCCCTGCCTTCCCTGAACTGCTATCTTTGACTTTACTCTGGTATTAGTATTTCTCAGCGGACGAGGAGAAAGCTTTTGCACTGTAATGCGTCATTAAAATACATGGCACCCCATCCGAACACTATTATTAATAATCTCCAAGCAACACAGCTGTTTATATAAAAGAGATGCAGCATGTAACTAATTTTTCCACATTCTATAGGTCTGTGATCACGCTAATCTGTTTCACACAAAGGACTCGTCCCTTTATTTTTAGATGAGATGAGTTAAGCAAATGTCTATGTTTAGAACACAGAGAAATCAACCAAGGCAGACAGATACTGGACATAAATGCATGAAACTGTAAAGCCTGATAAAGACTTGGAAAAATTCTATAACTGAAGTGCTACTGAAATATCCTGTAACTCCTGCTTCACTTTTATGTCTCTCTATATAGATATATGTCCCATGAATGAAATTCAATCCTAAAGGGAGCTGGCAATAAAAAGTAGTACAACAGTTTTTGACATTAAAATACAGCTCTCTCTAATACCTCCCTGTAATTTAGAAATGAGATTTAAATTGCATATAAGTTTTTCATAATAATGGGATCTTTTCACCTCCAGATATTTTTGCCACTGTTAACACTGAACTACAGAACTCCTGAAGATACAATGCTCCCATGTGTAACTGTCACCTTCAAAATTACAAATGAAAACATGTATTAAAAAACCCCAAACCCCAGAAACTTATATCCCATTTAGCTCACCTGTTTCAGTCCATGTTTACCATATAAATTTAGATTACATCTACTACCAGGAATCCTTTGTCCAGTTTTCCATTTACTAAATATTCACTCCCCAAAAGGGGAAGAAAAAAAAAAAAGTCCTCTTTATTTATCTGTTCCAGAAAAAAGATGGGGAAAAGAACAAAATGCACTTTCTGCTGCTTTAAGCATCTATATCATTAATTTTGGTCCACCAAACGTAAACCCCATTTCTGACATGCATCTTTCTTTTTCTGAGTGAAGGAAACAGGTAAAGTTCCATCAGCTCAAAGAGACTGAATATATGTCAATGATACAAGATAAAGCTTTAAGTAGCAGTAACAAAGGAACCACCATTTTCCTTTGAAAGCAAAAAATATTTTTTTTAGTATTGCGCTATTTTCTGAAGTGCTGGCATCTGTAGGAAAGGGATTCAAGCAATTTAATAATTTTGCTATGCCAAAAAATTACAAATAATGGCAATAAGACTTTTATGGCTTAGAGACATAGCACTCACAGTGATGCTGTTGACTTACACTTTCCATGTACAGGTCTTAATTTCATTCAGCAATCTTAAACCTGGACATCTTCGTACTGAATTGACAAGTCTACATAAGTTAACCTCTCATAGAAAAAGGCCCACTTACTATTGGTGGAAGTATGCTTGATAGATAAGCTAATTAAAATTCAATTTTGAGAAGTTTTACCAAGGCTTTTTCTTTTTTTTTTTCTTTACTCAAGAGACATAATCTTAATTCATAAAATCAATGTGCAAGGCAAAAAGCAGCACTGTGCCAGAGACACAGTATTGGTCATGACACTCCAGGTGTTTTAAAAGCAATTTGTGCCTCAGTAAAAGTACATCATCTCTGGTTCCTTCATACCTCTGCTCTCCAAATGCCAGTATGCTTTCCCTGATCAATTTGACTTAACGATCCCCTAATAGCCAGAATAAATTAATTCAAAGTCACATTAGATTTTTGCCTGGAACCACACTTCCTGCTGGTATCAGCAGCTGACAAAAGGGGACAATCCCCTGAGACCTGCCACAATGAGGAACATTTAATGATGGCTTTTACTATCCTTCTGTTATGTTAGGCCAGTCCTTCAGCCAGGGCTCTCACTTCTGTTTCAGCCCCTGCACAAGAGGGAATAAGGTGGGAGCATAAAACAATTCCAATAAACATTTCATAGAGGTAGAGGAGTATTCCCCAATGTGGGCACTGAGGAACATATCTACAAAATTTTCTTGAGAAGGCACATTCATGCAAGCTCTGGCATAGCTGTAGCACTGGCACTAAAGGCAGCATAAGGAGGTTGCTAAAACTTATTTTCCACCCTTCCGAGCAAGGCAGATTCCATCTGCTGGGAGCAGTTCATCAAAACTGCCATTCCGTTGCTCTGGTCTGGGCAGCACAATCCCGAGTGACAAGACAGACACTGCGGAGCTGCTCAGAGTTAACAAATTAACTGTCGGAGCTCAAGCAACAGCTTCCAAGGACACTGTTCAGAGGGTACAAGAAAGATGTAAGACGTGTTTAAAGCTGTGGGGCAAGATAAAAAAAGAGGTTTTGGGTTTATAAATGAAGACTTAGACAACTTCCGCAATAATAGGAAGAGGAAGATTTGTGTGAAGACAGGTTTTCCCTGTGGAGGGGGGTTTGAAGACAATGTACATTTCAAGAGAAGAGGTTTTTGCACAAACCTCTGGGAGATAATGGGCAAACTGTAAGCACTACTTGCTAGACTGTGTTTTCTAAGTAAGTTTTTTTTCTGGTAGACACTGACTCACTGAAATACATACCTCATTATTCAGTCTCCTTTTACTAACATTTTTACCAGATACTTCATGAAGAAATAAAATCAGTGACAAGTGCACTGTGACTTAACCACCCAGATGACATATCATTTCCTGAAAGTCAGTTTCTCGGAGGATTTAAAAGAAAAGAACGAAAAAAGGAAGAGAAAAAGAAAGAGGCTCCTGTGGTCCGTCTGGAGCCAGAAATCCTAAGTTCAGCTTTGGCAGCAACTCCCATCAGGGCTTTCCAGAGGGCTGCAGGAGATTACATTTTCAAAAGGACTTAAAAGGTTTAGGAGCACGCCTCATTGTTAAAAGAGATTTAGACTAATGAGCTTAAGCATTTCCAAATGTACTGCTTCATGCTCTGTCTTGTCCAGCCTGGTCAGGGGTAGGGTTCTCCCACAGCTCCTGACAGATTTAGATGCAAGGGTTTGAAATACTGGAACCCCGTTTCTACTGCTTTCTGATGGAGGTGACTGGCCCCGGACCAGGAAAAAGCAGAGGGGACCACGCACCTTAGCCCAGCAGGTCAGCATAACCCATCGACGGAGCGAGACCGTACTAACAGCCCGGGCTGCGAACGTCAGCAGCACCCCTTCTGCTGCTCATGGCACAGTTACGAAGAGGAGATTAAAGGAAACAGTACCTTCTGTGGCTGCAATCAGATTCACCAGAGGCCATCTGTCAAAGGTCACAGGTTCCTAAGTGCCTGAGACACTTTTAAAAGCAGACGTGGGTGTCCTTGACAGTGGCACGCGGCCCTCCCTGTGCCACATTCCCTTCTCTTGCTCTAGTCTGTGATTTCTTTCTTGGTTTAGTATGGACTTTTTTTTAGGGGAAGGGGAGGTAAGGCACACAGAATACTTACCAAAGGAATTGAAGTGTTTTATTCCATTTGTACTTTTGCAACAGAAAAATTATTTTAAAAAATTTGGATGTACCATGGTATACTTGACCTAAATTCTTCAGTGCTGTTCCTACATTTTGTGAGAGACTGGAAATAACGCCTAAATGTGTAAAACTTTGAACATGAAACATGAAAACTGATAAGCCTATTCATGAGCTGCAGTGTTTACTTTCTGAAAACGAAGTTGACAGATTTTCTGATGCTTTGTTTTCTATTGACAGTAAGTCACCACACCACAGAAATGGGGGCTTGAAAGGGGAAGAGACATGACATGTCACATAAGAGTCCGTGAACTTTTGCGTGGAAGGGTGGGGTAGGTAGCAGTGCAATTGTGGCCTAATAGCTATATTAGGTAGATGTTTCTGCTAAAATGTTTAGCAATAAAGGAGTTTTTAATTTAAGCTTTCTATTAAACCATAATTTAAAAAAATGTAAATCAGCATTTTGATGCCCTCTAGCTTTGCAGGTTAGCCTCAGTACCTAGATAAACCCAATAAAGTGCGTTTAAACAAACTCCAAACTCCTAAAAAATGCCCTGTATTCAACCACAAATGAAGTATCAAACTGTGATGAATATGCTGTGTTAAATTGGTTTCTTTTTCAGGGTAGCTGAAAAAGCTATATAAAACCTAAGCCAAGCCATTCAGCCCACGCGTATGGCCCACAAACAGACTTTAGCAGCAAGTTCTACCTGCTCAAGCTTTTTGTTGGATCAAGACCTCACTTTTTACACATCCAAAGATCCATTTAAGTCAAGAGAAATATTGTCTGAATAAAGGCTGAGTAAAAAATTAACAGGGACCCTTACTTCTGGCCAGACATTAGTACCCTATAATTTCTTTGCTCTTGCAATTCATTACGCTATCTTGTTTGAAGGCCATCTCACTACAAGTTTCCTGGGAAACAAATTTAGGAGCACGCTTACATTAATAAGAATGCAGCCTCAGTTAAGTTTGGTTTTGGATGATGGAACAGCACTGCCCATCAATTTGCTTACGTTCACCAAATCTGTTACTGAAACAGACCCAGAGCTCAGGGGGAAGAATGAAAGGTCTGTGCTGCATGTTCTTTGTTCACAGGACACCTTTGCCTTTGTGTTCAGAAAGCCAGCGAACCTTATTACTTCTGAAAGTATGTCTTCTTCTTTCTGAGCTTTAAGTGGATGGCAGTTATGACAAAACCTGTCAGGGTTGCTACTGTGCCAGAAACCACGTAGGCAATTCCCAGGAATGGGTTACTTCCTCCGCACCATACCACGGTTGAAAGAATCACGTGCTTCCTCCCCTTGAATTTGGTAACAGGGAAATCTGACAGAAGAAAGTTAAGGTTTCGCTAACAAAGTTTACATTATTTCCAGGAGGAGAAAAAGTAGCGGTAAATGCTCAAAATCCTTTCCAAGGCATAAAGGGTTTGGAGATCTGCGTTTGCTGAAAAAATTCCTGATCTGTGATGTCGCTCTTATTCTGGGTCCAAAAACCCAGTAGCAGCTGGTGGTAAGAAATCCAGTTATTTTAGACACAGCCTCTGTGTGAACATGGTACCACTATTTTTTCTTTTACATTCTAAATTTCAGATTCATAATTTATGTAACTTCTACAGTGTTAATTTGCTATGAAAACTCAGTTGAAAATCAGCCTTTTGGGCAGCTTATCATGATGACCCTCCACCTATTCTCACCAAGGGGAAGTGTTCACCTCTACCTAATACGTTGTCTGCCCAGAATGTCGTATGATTTTACCTTTCACCTCTCCACGTGGTAGCTTTCAGAATAGAACTGTGCTACAACATTTAAAATCATAGCTCTATCGGCGGAGAGAGAAGAGAAATTATAGCCAGCTTGACATAACTCCTGCTGACAAAACAAGTGCTTTAGTCAGCAAAGTTCACGCTGTTCGGTGTGACAGCACCAAAGTTCCTGTCAGCACGTGGCGCAAACCCGCCAAAGGGCTCTGCTGGCACAGGCATCCTGCACAGCTCTCAACGGCAGGGATTCCTCTGGCACTTCCTGCACCCCAGCAAGGGTGTCTACACACCTGATTAGGCCACTATTAAATATTTCAGCTAAAACAACATCTTCAACCATCAATTCAGGTTCCCACTCTTTGGTTTTACCCTTTGTATAAAGCTGCCATGTGCCGTCTCCAGCCAAAAGGAGGCCCCTCAGAAGTCAAATCCAAAGTCACGTGCTGCCATTTGAGTCACATGTTTTAACTCCACCCGCACGGACTACAGAAAGTCCACTTGTAGTCTCATCACCCTCACAACTAGGTCTTTTTATGGTGATGTAGTTTGGGGTGTTTTGCTTGGTTTCTTTGCCATTTTACTATACAAATTCCATCTGCTTCCATCTCATTGTAACTATCTAATAGTTAAGGAGCGTCTTGGATAATAAGAAAGGATACTATAGGAAATATGAAAAGTGTAATTCCCTGCTGGGAGGCCATCCGCAAACTGCCTTATCCGGCTGACACGACGGTAAAGATTTCTGAATGTAGCAAAAGCTGACACTCGCATCCAGATAATGAAGTCGTCATTTACATAACCGTTGTTCCTTTCATCTTCCTCGTCTAACAAATATACTGGTTTCTGCCAGTAAGGAGGTCTTGCTGTCCCTGGTGAAAAAGAAAGAAACCAGGAAAGACATACCGTCAGTAAAAACAGTGGTTGGTTACTAACTTCTGGGCCTACTCACAACCAACACAGAATATGAGATACAAGAGAGACACAAGACTGTGTCCAGTATTGAAAAAATTATATATGCTAGGCAACACTTTTCACCCAAGCATCTCCACTCACCTCAATCATGAATGAACAGAGTTTAACAGTACCCAGGGGTTGCTACACATTAGAAACATCAAGCACAGGAAAAACAAAGCGACTTGCACAAATGAAAATACTGTTTATTCTGGATTCTTGCCTCTTCAGCAAGCAATGCACTCTCTGTAATGAGGAGCTTGCCTTCATTTTTGCACATTAATTTTTTCCTGTAGGAGTCTTTTTGCAGTCTAGCAGCACAGCCTATGATATTTAGAATCTGCCATATGAAAACTACTTAGATAATTAACTCTTGCATATTGCATCCAGCACAGCACTGCCTTGATTCAGGATAGGGAACTTTTAGTCCCACTTCAATATAGATTAACCATAACAAGGAAACAGTCCTAGCAAACAGCTGTTTGAAAGAACTAGCGAAGATGGCAGTTTCACTTGGCTCACAACTGCCTAAAAATCTGCAAAGGTGTGAAGAAGATGTGACAATGCAATTCTCCTTCGTAGGTGTTTTCAGTAGAAAAAAATAAAATGACTGTATCCTTGCTTTCTCTGTATAGATTAAGCATTACACTCAACTATACAGAAGGGTGTGGATGCGGGCTAACTTCAGTCTTCCAAAACCACTTTCTCCCAATTTCTAGGGGGGGGGGGGCGGGGGGGAAAGAAAAAAGATATTTTGGCTAAATCTGGCCTCTGCTCTCAGTCACCCTCTAAAGCTGCTTCTCCCACCTCCTTTGGGAGGTACTTCTCCCAAAGGCGATTCCCATCTGAGAATGGGAGACCTCCATACACAGGCAGGGAGGGAAGCCATTGGAAAATAAGGAGTACCAGTGGAACCATTCTTACCTGCAAACGCAGAAGAGAGATTGTATGATTTTGGATTGCGAAATTTCACATTTTTATCTGTCCACCAACTGTTTCCAGTCTTCAGCAGTGGTACTTGAATAACAGATGAGTTAAAATTGTAAAAAAGATCAATAGTATCTGCAGGGAATACATGAAGCAATACGTGTAAGTCAGTCATTCTCGTGTCCAGCATGACTAACTAAAACTGACACACTGAAGCACCTTACAAATGAATAGAAAACAAACCAACCAACCAACCCTGGGAAAGGTTTCATCATGACTGTGTACAGAGCACTGTACACTCCACAAGAATAATTAAGCTTCCAGAGCCTTAGAACGTGGGAAGTTTTAAAGACTGAACATGCTCCTAACAATAATCTTATTGAATCCCTGTGTAGAAATACGTGCAAGTACGTTGTGTCCATCAACTCCTCTGTAACTAACTTCTTTACAAATCACTTTTGGAGCGCTCTAGCTAGTTGCAGAAGTTACTCTTCTAGTTAGACTTCCCCTAGAATTTCTTTGACAGTTCTTCTGAACAAATTGCTTTGTTACATATCGTGTTTTCAGAGAACAGGGGAGAGATGAAAGCACCATCAAGGGAATCCATGATTCTTTGGAAAAAATTTTGCTTTAGTTTTACGCTAATTAGCCCTTGTCTACCAACTTGCACATAAACACTTCCTTAAATCAAAAAAAGTTTAGTTAAAATTGTGCTTAACTGTGCCATCCTGTTTTGCTGGGCAAAAAGCATTTGTTTTTATCCATTATATTTTCCTCCTCAGCTTAGTTTAACATAAGGCAAAAACATTTTAGGTCTCATTAACATTTATGTAAACACCTAGACAGCCAATGAGATGACGGGCAGGGACAGTTAGATGATGAAGATGGGGAGGGGCTGCTTTTTAGGAAACATGAAAAACACAACTCAACTGCATGAGCATCAATGAAAACATACTTTATTTTATCCTGCTACAAAAGCTGTGTTCACACAGCTCCTTAAGGCTCAGACACACTCTTCTGAGTAAGAGATCATTCTGTGCCCCACTACATCCCCAGCTGTTTGTCACTGGTTTATTAACAAGAGCTGCAATTCTCTGAGCTCTGCCTGCTTAACTGCTTGTCTGACTGCTCCCTTACCTGCTAGCTTGGGTTAGAAACCTTTCCCATGGCAGGAACTTGGCCATCTTCCTCATTTTACAAGGTTAGAGAGCAATTAGACAACCAGCTAAACTGCCAAAAGTGAATGGGAAGCACCCTCTTTTTCACAGCAGAGGGACAGAAATGAGCTACCAGAGGAGGGATTCAGACATCAACCCCTTCCCCCACATCTCCAGGAGCTGGAACATTTCATCACACCGTGCACTAAGGACAGATGCAGAGGCAGACACTGGGAGGTTTACCCTCAGCATTTTAAAATCTTACTGTCTCTAGTTCTCTGCAGGAGCATTCTGTCCTGCAGCCAGGGCTCCAGAACAGTGTGGGCTGCACACAAGTAGCTCTGCTGGCCTAGGTCTGAGCCCAGTCCAGTAAATCAGACTTCCAGGGGAGCAGGTGGGTGCACAGGCAGATGAAAATCAAATTGATCTAGAAGTTACTGAATGCAGCTGCCCTTCACAAGTCCTCTGGTGTGGCTGGCTCAGCTGCTTTAAAAGAGCTGTTGCATTGCCAAAAACTGCTGCATGGAACAGGTTAAAAAGAAGGGGGTGGGTGGGTACAGACAAAAAGGATGGGGTAGGGGAGAAAGGTCTGTACAAGTTTTTTGTCTCCTTTCCTCCCAAAGAAATCCATTCTGAAATCTGCCAGTACCCATGGCAAGGAGCCCTCTAGGTTGCAGCCTAAATATACTCGCAGGCAGATTATGCCCACTAGGTTACTATAAACAGAATCAAACCTGGGATCAAATTGAGTAAGACTATGCACGCTTCCAGCATTCAAAGAACAAAATGCAACCACATAGATCCACAGGTCCAAACCAATATGAAGAACATGTCGCCTCCTTCTAAGCACACCACTTTGGGAAGGCAGAATCTGGGCTCTCCCATCACTGCTCAATAATGTATTTTTTAGCAAGGAAGCATGCTAAATCTGTTGTATCATCGTTCCTTATTTCACCAGGGACTCAACTCCTCAGTCCTGTTGTATATTCACATTGAAGGGGGCCTTGGTAAATGAAAAATATTCCTCAGTTTCAAAATGAGGGGCAAGTTACTAAACAGTAAGAAGCAGAGCCCCATATTCACCCAGTAGCACTGCCAAACAAAATCTTTTGTGGGAGAAAGACAGAGATCTTGCAATATCGGGACTCAGCTGGATTGGGGTAACAGAATAGTTTCAAGCGGAAATTAGCAAGCAGATGTGGAGGTACCCGCTTACCATTAAACATGCTGTTGGCAATAGCACCGCATGGAGCCATGGGCGTCCCATTTTGGTAGGTGGTGAAGGGCGCGCAGTAGCTCTTCTGAATCTGCATTCAAGGTCACAGAACAATCAGGCACTGAACTTGGGGGTTTTGTTTTGGTTTGCTGGTGTTAATGTTCTCCTCCCACTCCTTCTTCTGAAAAGCCATTGAATAATTAAGTCTCCAGTACCTTTTGGTCACATTAGAGATGCATCCAAATGAATGGGTTTGTAGTTGAGGAACACCTTCCATATCACACTAAGTAAACTTAAGGTCTCCACCAAATTCTGCTGTGGACTTGCAAATTCCAGACTACAAAAACTCATTTGAGGATCTGCTATTGTAACATAGCTACAATTTAAAATGTTCCAGTGAAGCCTTGGCTTACCCTAGAACATCTTATTTTTCCTCCTTTTTAATTTTGACTGGACTGCTTCACTGGTGGAGAACAGCAAATGCAGTTAGCCACATTACTGCAGTTCTGTGCGGAAATCTTGATGTACGGAGACACAGCATGAAAAACAAAAGCCCATCAATTTTATCACCTCTCCTATCCCATTTCATAAGAAACTATAAATCCTCAGGTGTTTAAACACAGAAACAATTTCAAATAACTCTAATAAGCTGCGTATCTGGTTGGCACAAAAGGCAAAAGCAGTTGCACCTGGATGCAAACAAACAAGCTGACTGGACGCCTGAAGAAGCAGATGTACGGAGAACTTGTCTTGAGAGTTACAAGAAGCAGTTTATAGAAACAACAGATTATTATGGCACAATCACCCTATGTACTACTGAGAGGACAGCGTGTGGACTGTATGTATCTTAAGAAATGCTACTTTTAAGCCAAAGAAAACATGTTTTAGATTTGTAAGTAAAAAACCTGAATGCAATAATTACATTCTCCAATTTCCTTTTGCAGGCCTGCTGCAGGTGATGCTGTCTAGCCTCCTCTTTAGACCTCTAAGTTGCATACTTCAGAATGCTACATGATCACCTATTTCACCATAAACCTTTTCCTGCTCCTTGTCCACTTCCAAAGCCAGATGGCAAAATGAAAGACTTAATATAACTTAATTCCCTAACCCTATAATAAGAGCACAGCTTAAAACATTTCTGGCTAAGATGACTGAAAACACTAGAACGAAAAGCTTTCTGTAAATTTATTTGAAAAAGAAAATGTATTTTTAATCAGCATCCCTACAAGGTGCAGGTTTGAGAATTGCAACACTGGACTGACATCTTTTATTTATCCTCTCAATCTTCCTCTCTTATTAACTTATCAGACATAATGGCCCTAACAATCATAAAAGCAGAGACCAAACACTGAAAATCTGCACCTTCTTATTATTCCCTAGAGCCATCTTAACACACTTACAGTTACGCTTAGTTAGCTCTCCATATGGTCAAAGATGCACCTGATGGAAATACTGATGATCTCATAATATAAAGAAGAAAACTTACATTTACATTTCGACCCAACAACTGTGCATCATTTCTTGATATCATATATCGACGATGGTTTTGATAGAAGTTTTGCAGGCCATAGTACATAAAAACATCACCCTAGAATTCAAGGATAAATCCCTTCAATAAGGAGAGTTCATGTAGACAAAAAGAAATCCTATTACTTGCTAAAAAAGAGAGGGGAAGAGAGTACTCAATTCATATTTAAGTGTTGGTAACTACACTCTAAGCAATTACTTCAGAGGACACTGGCTAGAATCTAGTCTTTAACCCAACTGAAAGTTTTAGTATTTTGGCACACAATTAAATATACTTTAAATCACCAAATGAAACCTAAAATAAACATGCCCAATTATTATTTTACTCAAGATGGCATGGCTGGCCATGAACCTGCAATGACTATGAATAATTTTGTGGAGACAGACACTCATTTTCTATAAAAGAAGGTGCAAAAAACCTTCAAAAAGTACCCATTAGCTCTTAATTCCTTCAGATTTTTAAAAAAATATCAATTACTTGAATCCTTTGGAAAGTTCAGTCCTATAATTAAAAGGAGAATGCTAAGCAGGCAAACACAAGCAAGAAAGAGGATTATCAAACTATAAAAAAACATTATTCAGTTAAATGAACTTCTCATCTCAAACATCACTGTAATCTGAAGAATCACAGAGTATTTTAACAGCCTCTTCAATACTGAAGAACCCTAAAGTGACTTTGTAATTTAAATTGCACTGTAATTTTAAGGGATCATTTATGCAGTATTAAGCATAAGATCTCTTTGGCGGAACTTGAAGCATTTTACCAGTCTCAGCAACATAACCCAGTAGTTTAGGACAGGAAATGAAGAATACTTTTCCCAAATGAAACTGCAGAATGACATTACTAGACTTTAACTATTTCAAGATCCTTGGGGATTACAGTATAACCCTTGCAGAAAAGACTACAGGGGTTTACTTATGACAAGTGGTCAGAGCTTCAGATTTCCTTCTCGTCTGAGAGCTTAGCAGTGCAGTAACAACCAACCCCAGGCCAAGGGCAAGAGTTTGCTACTGACTCAAAGATAGAGAGGTCACCTCCACAATCAAACACCATTTCCTCCGTGCCCATCTTCTCCTTGGACATCTCCTAACCAAGGACAGAGGTAGCCTGATCTTGATTATGTTTAACATGTACCAAAATGAATAGCAAAGGCAAAAGTGTAAAATTTTGAGCATTTTGTGTTTTTAGAAAGTACAAAGAAAATTTAGTCAGGAGCTCTACAAAGCAGAATTAGTGTATTTTATCATACAGGGATATAAGTAACAGGAGGTACTGAGCAACTTGAGTTGGTTTCTCATATCCACTTACCAATATGTCTTCCTTTAGCGTGAAATTAACAGAACAGTGGCATTCCTTATTCCAATTAGAGGAATTTTCACGGAGTTTTGAACAATCTGAACATTTATCTGAATAATCAATCTGTCAGAGAAGTGAACAAGCAGAGGTATTCTCATAAATGACATGCACACAGGAAAAGGTTAGTGTTTTAGCTCCAAGACTTCTCAGAGCGGATTTCTTCTAAGTGACTCTGGACTGCCAAACACATTGTTAAAATTCAACAGAGGCAGAGAATCAGGACTTGGCCTCAATGAACATTCACAAATTTTATCCCTAGTATAAAGCTGGTTTAGAGCCTTTGATGATTGTTGCAGAACCTCCACATCTGCTCCTCGGCAAAGGAGTGCTGAGTGAAGAACACTTCTGCAGCTTGGTCTGGCTAACCAAGTAATGCTTGACAAATCCCCACATGCTTTACGGCCCACCCCTCTTGAACAGCCTGGATGTAGTGCTGAGTGTTGGCTCCAACCAGGAATCCATTAACACCACCACAGGTCTAACCAACCTTGCCTCCAGGTGGCATTTAAACATCAGGGCTCCCTGCATTTTAAGATTTTGCCCCAGCAAACATGTATGTTCTTCTAGTATCAAACACTATCAAAAGGATTAGTTTATTTCCCTTCAAAACCCCGGGAAATAATGACAACATTTCAGATATTACCAGCCAGTGGCAGTACTTACCACCCATATTTCAGATATTACCACCCAGTTAACCACACCGTGCTTGGCTTTTATCGGTGACCAACTATCTCTGAGGATTTTCACAGGAATACTGGCTGCTGGACACATGTCCAAGGCATGAAGCCATTGCTATCACTGTTATCCAGAAGCAAAAATTCAAAGCCTTTTCCCTCCAAACGTAGCCCAGTTTCTTCTTCATAGAATATATAAGAACACCACCCCCAAACAAACCTGGATCTCTCTGACGCTGTTTGCGGACAGTATGAGGCAGACTCCCACAGGAAGGCAGAACGCGCCTGTGAGAAAGAAGCTGGAGAGCACAGTCGCAATGGTAAGCTGGGGCTTCCAAGCTGGTAGCTTCTGTTGTTTGAATGCACTGTTATCTGGACATCTGGAAGGACGCGCCTCTCCTTCTTGTGGAAGAAAACTTGCCTTGTTTTCCATTTTCTTCTTGGTGAGAGGAAGGAATAATATACTTGCGCTGGTGAGTGTTTAGCTGAGATACTGTCCTTACTGTTGGGAGACTGTATTGTTTGTTCAAACCTGCATTATGGCCAGGAATTACTTATTAACTATATCTCTCTCTTCCTCGTTTTCTACATTTGTGCCTGGATCCCCATGATCAGCTTGTACCAATCAAATGATTGTGTACTTTGGTCAGGGTGTCCAGCTCATGCCTCCTGGAAAAGGTTAAACGTGCTTTTTCCTGCCCCGCAATTCAGTAGGATTTGTTATGTTGTACTCATTTGCAGGGATACTGCCAGCTATACTGGAATTTCTGTGTAATCTCAGATGCATTATTTTTTCTCCCTTCACTTCCATAGCTGCCCAGCTAACAGGCATGGCATACAATGAAAGGAGCTCTACTCCGATGGCAATGGATGCCATTTGGGAGGACTGCAGGTGTTGAGACAGCATGGGACACAAAACGTTGCTTTGGAAGACCAAATCAATTTTCTTAACCTACTACATTCATTGCTATTGATTCAGATGCAATTTAAAGTTGTAAAAGGTTACGTGTTCTTTATTACAAAACGGCAACTCATTCTCAAAACATCTGATTTGGACCAATGGCTTTCCAAGATGCTGATGAGTTGCTCACCTATATTCCATCCCGCCCTCTGAAAAAATTGCATCCATTCCCTACTATCCACAATGACAGAAGAATCACCCAGAGATCATTGCCTTTTAATTTAAATGGTCAAACAGAAGAATATTTTTTGCATACTTCAACAGTTTAACCAAAATAAAGTCTCAATATACAGATAATTTATCATGTAATAGCAAAAAAGTAGCATTTGGCCAGCTCTAGAACAGATGGATGAAAAATACCTTTTTGATAAATTACTGAAATTCATACAACATTTTCAAAGAACCTCTAAGGCAAGAAGTAGATTATCACTCTCATGAGAGAAGTAAAGGTCTCCTTTGGGACAGCAGAGGGAGATAATAGGGAACTGAATTCTACAAAGACTTTCACACCCAAGTTTGCTCATCTTCAAAGTGACACAGTAGTAGATCTAGCAGGTGAATGCAATGTACCTCTAATTTCAATATCACATTGCTCCTGCAATAAAAATCATACTAAAACTATAACCAAAACTTCTATTTTATTATTAAAAGGAAACTCAGAAAAAGTTGCAATATGCATTCTTTCTGTATTGATAGACGTCTGAAAAGTCGAAATTCTTCATTCCATCACCCATTAATCACTTGCAAATTGTAGACAGGATAATAGTAAAATGCAGTTGCAAACGACTTCCTTGTTGGTAAAACCATTAAAAGAGTCCCAGCTTCACAGACCCCTCTCTGCACAGCTTTATAATACACATCTCCAGTAGGTCAATTGTTTCTTTCTTTATCTGAAGAAAACAAAAACCAAAGAAAGCATCAAAAGTTACTGATAATGCTTTGGCTAAATACCATTATTTATTTACTCAGGCACCTCACTATAGGACTAGACATTAAAGAAGAGGTTCCCATACAAGGTCCTGAGCTCCACAATGTTTCCACTTTGTAGAATACCTAACATTTGCTCTGCAGTCCTAAAGGACAACTATGGCTCGTGCAGTCCCATCTAATAGGGCTAGAGCTAAGCTGTCATCAGTACAGAGCTGATAAAACATGCCACAGCAAGAGATCCACCCTGGGCTGCAAAATCCCTGTGGAACTTTCCGGAGTATCAACGGGTATCAAGTAGTCCAAGGGCAGTACTGCACTGCAACAGCCACAACATTGTCTGTGTCTGAGACAGCTGAATGAAAGCGAGCACAAAGGTCAAGTCTACATGTGCTGCATGCAGAGTACTTCGGTTTATAACACGGATATGGCTGCAGCTTATTGCTTATCTAAAGATAAAAGACGAATGTACTTGAGAGGAAATATTGACTACATACTTCAGCAAGAACACAAGATTCTCTATCATCATAGCTAGTCCAGAGTCTCCCTATAGCTCCCTCTTCCCACTTTCAAATAACTTATTTGCAAGTTTTCTCTCAGGATTATATCCTTCAGTGTCTCCACTCCGCACAGGAGCAAATGACGTAAGAAAGTCTGACCAGTCTCTATTCCACGCTGGATATGCTACATGAGGGTGAAAACAGTTGTCTTTCTATCGCAAGTCCATTTCTTACAAACCTTTCTACTTTCAGGAAACCTGAAACTTAAACTTTCTGTATTTTCAAACTTACTCAAGGCTCAGTGTTTGTGTTCCCTGCAGACAATACAATGTTTTTTGTTGAAAAAACTCTATTTGAATCTTACAAACAAGTAATTTGAGGACTTGAGACAGCTCTGTATTGCCATCAACCTCTATACACAAAGATTTCAAAGCAGGAAGCTTGTCCTTTGGTCAGATCAGAAAGTATACAAACAATTTTTATTTAAACCTTTACACTTCAGTATAAATCAAGCATGCCAAGACAGAGTCTAATAAACTCATTTATCCCCCCCACTGGTTTCTTTGTGAGCTTTCTTTTTATTTCCTTCTCTCCACTGTTTGGGATGAATGGTCTGAGGCACATAGAAACAGAGGAAAAAAAAAATCCAACAGCATTAACTAATGAAATGTTGAGGCATCTGAAAGAACACTGGATTGGGGTGCCATCCATTATGTGGATGTGACGGGATACAGGAGTGCCATATGGGAGGATTCATGTGGTTTTAAATTCATATATTTATCAGACTATACCACTGTGTTCATAATTCTCCACTGAATATGAGGTGAGTACAAAAACATCAAGTAGTTTGCACCTTTAAAATGAAGCTACAGATTTTCCATGAACGGCCAATAAGTACATGTGCTTCCAGCTGTTCTTGCTTTAGTGTAATTACAATGAAATGTAGCAAAGGAGCACCTTAAATATGCAAAGAAATTATTGGGTAAGTAAGGTTTAGAGCAGGGTCAGTATGCCTTGTTTCCAATTTTAAGGGCACAATTTTTCCTCTACAACTAACACAGGATGAAAAAAATAAGTACATCTGCCAGTTTTCTAAATTGTGTTGTTGGTACTATAAGTCCTCTTTTCTTTGAGCAAACTTACTACTAATCTTGGCATGTATTTGACAATTTTTATACAAGCAGGGGAGTTAAGATCCTCTGCTTACTAAGACTGTATTCCATATTTCACGTCTGCAAGTTGCCAGAAAATGCTATTGATTTCTACTCTGCTAAGATGCCTTATCTAAAAAATATTATTTGTGTATCTTTTATTACTGACATTCTTATAATGTTCAGGAATCTGCCTGATGTCCGCAGCAGGACAAATAGTTGCAAGATGCTCCACTTACATAGCTCAAGATGTCAAAAACCTTTCTGTATGTTGTGCTACCCGAGTAAAGCGCACATTTGAAGACTTTTCTGTAATCGCGTATTCAATATTCTGTAATCACACATAAATACCTATTCCTTATGCTAATGCTATATAGGATGGTGTAACACACTTACTTGGTTTTAACTTGAACTAAGCCTTAACATTTTGATGTTAAGATAGCCTTAAGATTTTCCCTTAATGAAATACAGCTGGAGTCACAACTGTGGCCTATATTCCTAGACAGACATGCAAAAATGATGTGATGCTACCTACAGTGAGCTGAAAGGGGTAGTTCAGGTTTGCAATAGCCCAAAATAAAAAATTAGCAACATAATTTTCATTTTTTTGAGGTGGATCACCTATAGTCTACTGTATATATATTTACTTCAGCTGACTTTAAAAATCCATCCCACTGCAACCAGCACCTTTTGTACTACTATCTTGTGCTAATATAGCTGTGAATTCATGTTCTCCATTCTTTAAAAAACTTACAGGTAAGTGTAAGCACCATACAAAAGAGCCTTATGTATTTTACCACAAGAGGGAGCCTCCTTGCCTCAAAAAGCAGAGCTGGTTTCTTCGCTACTTCATTTCTGCAATGTATTTTTTTGCGGGGTGCTTTATCCAAGATTATTAGGAACCTGTATCTTTGTCTATGTGGGACTGTAAAATACAGCACACTCAAAAGCATGGACAAGAGCAGAGAAGGATTAGTGACTGATAATTTGTTTCGCTTGTGAAACAGCTTAATGTATATATGCAAAAAAAATCCTTTTCCCCTGGAGATTCTGCATATCGGCCTGCTCTAAATGTGCAAAAACCATGGAAACACTGTGCAGGAAATTGGTAACTCTCTAACGACTGGTGGAGGAATCTGCCTCTTTCACTCTCCGCTGGCTAAATACCAGCTGATGCCCCACAGCATATGGTAAACATGCCTTGTCACAGCAATAAATGTGAAAGCTGGATTACAGAATTGAAAAGAATGGGGAATTATCTTAAGAGGAGTCTACAAATGATGGATGGCTCTACATAGTTTGTACCCTACCTCTTGCCAAAAAAACCCCAAAACAAAACAAAAAATCCCATGAACTGTCTGTAGCTTTATTCACAAGAAGTTACCTTACTCTCAAATGGAGACAAGTAAATGCTTCTCCAAAGTTTTATTTATTTTTTGAGGAAACTTTTGCGCAAAGTCCTCTTACCAAGAGGAACTTCCCAGGAACAGGTAGAATAGCCATCTAGCATAAACAGGAGAAATTCACAGCACAGCTGCAGAAGTCACAGCTGCGACTTGCAACAAAAAAGGAAAAAATCTTCCTCAGGAGGTAATTTTGAGACCTGAGAGTACAGACTTACCAGTCAAATATTGACTTCCTTGTGTTTCTAGACCACTAAAGTCAGCTTTACAGAAAGAAAACCTTACTGACCAAGATCTGGGCACTAGAATCGAAAGTAATGAATACACAGAATATAATATATACAGGTGCTTATACAATACCTCAGGGATATCCATCATTCTCCTTAGTTTCTGATCTCTCCAATTCCAATCCAGAATCATATATTTTGTGGAGTTCAAGCACAGGCCATCTAAAAAGGCAAAATAAATTTTACTACCAAGATAATATGACATATGCTTATCAAAATGGTTTTTGGCTTTTACATCTTTTGCTGTCTGTTTCCAAGGAAACTAATCTTTGAACACTTAAGTACTATATTTGCTGGTTGGAAAACTAATGGACTGACACTGCAAACTCCCTTAACCACATAATCCCATGCCTTTTTGGAAGATAAACACAAAAGCAGAACAACTACTGTTGCCAGGCTTGTCAAGAGCTAACATCCTGCCAGAAAATAATTCCTCAAACTTCCTCTTGATGAAACCACAGGAGTTGAATTTCCACAGCTGATGAGGAGCTGGTAAGTGACAAGGACCCTAGCCTGAAAACTCCTGCTAATGGAACTGACAGTGTTTAGCAATTTACAGGACTGGGTGCTATGTGAATGTGAGTCAGGTCAGTGGTACTGCTGAAGAATTCCTTTATCCTCCAAAAAAATTGTGGTGAAAGAAGAAAAAGGTCCTTTCTGAACTGGCCCTCCAGCTGTTCCGCTGTTTTTCCCAGTCTTCTACACGATGCCCACAATTTTTTTGTATCAGTTTTGACTCCTCTTAATTCTCTAGTGACCTGGCACTGCAACACTAAGGTGTCAAAAAAGGAATAGACCTTAAGATAAGATGATACACCTCTTGTCCCTGCCAAAAGCTGCCTCCACCTAACATGGCAATGTGCTGACGTGCTCAGCAGTAATGATTTAATGTTGGTGGAAGGCACAGGAAGCAACACAATTATGCTACTCCTGTACCCTTTTGGAAGGAGCAGTAGAGTCCCAATCCACAGCCAGTCCCTGACCAAGAAACCACAGTCAGAGCAAGGCAATGTTTAGAAAGAGGAATGGAAAGAATCACCTTATCATCTTGTCATTTTGTTGTTCATTTTTCTTTGTGTACATAACGTCTATTGAGTAAGTAAAACTACTCAAAATTTGGGAAGAGAAAAGGAGATTTATGTAGAATAGTTAATTTCATTACAGACAAATCAGAAATAAAATCAAATCAGCAAGCAGATCTTTCATCGACCCCTCAAAAGTTTACACTGAGCTCAGAGTGACATATGATACAATGACTTCTGCCATTATTTCCTTTTGATTTACTTGCAGTGTTTAGCTTCCTGGAGCTTTAAATCTTACACCATGGTTTTGCAATCACTTTCAAGTCAGCATAAATCAGGATTCCTGCCAAAAGAGGAAATCCCCCATCTCTGCCTGCTCATTACCTGATTTTGTGCGCACACTGGTTGTGTTTTAATTGGGATCAGTTCTAATTGGTATCAGTTCACTGAGCTGCCAAACAGACTCTTGAGCTAGTGCAAGAAGCAGGAAGGGGGAATAAGTGGGCACTGACTGGGGTGGTGGGGTAGTATTACTCTGCCTTTCTCTGGTAATACTGATTTATGTCAGCTTAAAGTGATCATAAAATCAACTAGTAGAATCTTGACCTCATTTTGACTGACACAGTAGAAGTGGAGAAACAGAACTGTACAGTTTAGTACCCAAATCCACATATTCATGTCAACCTAAGCACTTCAGAAACAGCTGAAGTCTCACTTCTCATGAGACCAAGTATAAGATACCTATGGAGAAACCCCTCCTTGTTCTCCTACCTTGCTCCACTAGCGCTTTTACTCTCCCAGGAGTTCCAACCCCGATGTGGAACACGCCTTTCTCCAACATATTCATCTGTTCTTTTATCTAATTTGAAGAGAGAAAGAAAAACCACAGTAAGACCACGATTGTTTTAAAATTTCTTCTCAAAGAGCTGGAAAGAAATTCAAGATCTCATAGTATCTCTTTCTAGAATACCATCAAGTAACAAATACTATTCATCTTTCAAACTGTCAAACTGATATCTCTGGGAGAAAGTTTAAGAAATATAACAGCCGGCTGGGCATCACACTTCTCCAGAAGTTTGGAACAATTCTGGTCATTTTCAACTTCGAAAACCTGCTATTGCACCAACTATTTTTGGAGGTGAGAACAGTATGCTTCCTTCAGCATTTAAACAAATTCTCTTGAAATATCTGGAAAACTGACAAAGCTGAATTAGCTCTAAATTCCTTCAAGATGAAGACACTAGAAAAGGGTGAAATAAAGCAAGTGACATTTGTGTGTTTGACAGTATTTATATCAAAGGCCAAATGTCCACTCATTGCTTTCAACATCCCCATAATTTGTGCTTTCCAGTAGGTATGGAAATTGGGTATCCAGGCACCCAACTGGCAGAATACAAATGTGGGTGCTGGTACAGTTTGCTTCTACAAACCTATGTGTGTGAGCCTTCTATATGAACAGGCAAAAGCCGTTTGAATGAGCACCTTGCAGGAATGTGGAACATCTTTAAAACATTGCACACGCTTAAGCCTCTACATTCTGCATAGGATTGCACCAGAGCTATGGAGATGGTGTTTCGCTAGATTCGTCAAACTGCAACAATGGGTTACCGAAGCATTACCTAAAGAAAGGACCATTATATGAACACTACATGAAAGGCACTATTGGTAAAACCGAAAATCATACAACACTAGTTGGTTGTTTAGTTGTTCTATCAAATTTCCCTTGCAGCCCTCTTACCTTTATGTGCTTTGCAAACAACTTGAGGACTCTGCAGTCTCCTTTAAATGCTGTCATTGACCTGGCAATAAAAAAAATTGAAAAAGGAAATGCAAGCATCAGGGTCGGGAGACCACACAGCAAGAAAGCAAAACTAACTGGCATTTCCCAGTATGCTCGAGACACACAGTCCCCCAGTGACCCCTGCTTGTACTTTGAACACTATGTACATTCTTGTTTGCTACTTGATCAACAGTGATCAACAACTGGACAAACACAATAGCAGATATCAGTAGGGGGCAATATTGTTTAGATAGTTTTTCAGATAGTATTTAATAATTATGGCCTGTGCTTTCACAGCTAACTTAGTTCAAAACTGACTAATCGCCAAATTCTAATTAAAAAATATCTCAGTTACTGAGATACAGGCATGAATGAATATGTGTGTGCATGTACAAAAGGAAAGATCTGTGCATGGACCAATCTACATTTCACCGTCTTTACTGCAGAAGTTGCCCAAATTCCAGTTAATCAAAACTCATTTGTTGGAAAACCTGACTTGTTTTTCTGACACTCCATTTTGGCACACAGTAATAACTCATGTTCTGCATTAGTCAAGCAGGAGACAGCATATCCAGTATTTACTGAATGTCATTTAAGACAGCTTTCTCCGCATGTTTTTTTGCAGTGCACCAAATTTTCAATCTTCTCTTGTGCAAAGCTTAAGGTTTACATACAAATATATATATAAACCACCCAAGTCTCAGATGGTAATATCTGCATGCAGAGGCTAAGCACTACAGGCACATCTGCTATATCTATGCTATCTAACTGTGGCATGGAGTCAAACTTCCCAACTCTCCATCTCATGTTGTACTGACAGATAATCACAGGAAATGGGGTCAAGACACAAAAGACAACCATGAAATCTGTGAGATATACATTAATTCATCAAAGTCATCAAGAGTTCTGGAATAAGAAGGGGGAGGATAGAGAAGGGAAAAAAAGAGGACAGGGAACACCGAAAATCGTCATCTCTGCACAGAAGTTTTGCCAGCCTGAGCCAGCTGAGAACATGGATGCAGACCTGGAGGCACTCAGGCCACATGCATGTGTTGGCACTTGAGGCCCTGGAATGCCATGTCCTCATTGCCTTTGGTGCAAAGTCATGATTTGTAGTGGTGGATCATGATGCTTTCTGGCTTTAGTCTGTTCCCAAGTATAACATGTTGCATGTTTCCCCCAAATTGGTTACACTTTATTTCTGGTTTTTAACAAAAATAGCACTTCCATGCAACTGAAGTACTGTTACTTCAGTCTAAAACCAAACACCACACTCCCACAGTTTAAAGAAGCAAGGGATATTGCATCAGTTTGAGTCAGTGAATTTGTTGGCTAGCAGAGGACAGTGTCCCAGTTTTGCCTTTATGTCTGTGGTTCCAAGACAAAACCTCTGACTGACTGCCAACCTCAACATAACATTTGCTATCGACATACTTGATGAGTTCCAAGGAACGAAGGGCAGAACTGCAGATAACCAGCATCACGACCGACTTCTTCTCCTTGTGGTTTTTACGGAGTTTTGCCCACTTAGGACAGACTGCAATGAAAAAGCCCGTGTACACACACAGAGAAAGTACTACCTGCCACAATTTTAAATTACATGATGAATAGTAGCCAGCAGCAAGAACACACATGCTGACTCCTATGAGGTCTGGATCTCTGGCAACACTTTTACATTTAGTCATGGCTGAGAAACTGGAAAATAAAATGCCCCAAATAAATAAAATACAGAAATATCACATAACTGAACAAATTAGATAAGCATTAAAAATCAACAGTTTGTAAGGTGACAAGCCCATTGTCTTAATTTGCCACATATGGCAATTTGTATCAGAGAAAACCAACTGAAAAAATACATTTACCAGACGGAAAGTTCTATATAAATATATAAGAGAATAGAAGTTCTCTTGGTTCATGTCAGCAGACAGCTGCAGGATTTTTACTGTAAGATAATACATACCCCTACTACTGAAGCCACAATAAATTACTGACAAATAATCCCTAGCAATTAAAAGAAACCCTAAAACATTTTAATACAAAAAAGTGACAGAGTAAAAAAGAGCCAGAAAAACAAGACCTGTCATGAAAAAAAGAAAAGAAAAACCCTTAAAATTATTTATATTTCATAATTAAAAATATTTGGAGGTGCAGATAAAAACGGCAATGATGTTGCGTTAACAATGTTTTTCATACAACTTTCATCTCATCCAACATTTTAACTCACTTTCCTTCAAGTATGAAGAAAAACTGTGGGTGAGATCATTGGCTGGCAAAAAACAGGAATCTGAAAACATAAAAGGAAAAAGTACTTTTGTTGATGTATTTTTAACAGCAAAAGAAGTATATATGTTTGCAGCATAACCACTAGTTACATGGATGAAATCACAACTGCGTTAAAATTCATCATCAATAAATTACTATTTGTGAAACAAAGATTAATGTACACCTAATGTACCAGAAGCTTTATACTGGAGAAATCAATGAAGGTAACATCCTTCAATTCAATTGCAATTCCTTTCTTTTCTCCCACCATGAAAAACCCTGAATACAGGCCTGCACAGTTGTGATCACATACTTTAAAGAACATTTTTATATGTCTTTGCCACAATCATTCAAAGGTCCTAGCCAAAAGCCTTACAGTCAGCCTGCTAGACTGTTCCTCCAATCTACCTATGATGGAATACATTTGTAGATCACCCAAACAATTCACACTGTATAAATGCAAGAACCTACCAATAATCTACCTGTCAATAAGTTGGTTTCTCTTTCTGGCCTTTCATATTGTGGTAATCTACCTAACTATATCGACCCTAATGGTAACACCTACACTGCATTTCAATGCCGCCTTCTTCCTTCATTTCCCACTGACTGCCTATCTTTTACCCGGTCACTATGTTAACGAGTAAGACATAAAAGCACCCTGTGGCAGACACGCCATTTAACTTCAGGTTTCAAATAGAGGCAATGAAGAAAGACAAGGTCCTAACAGGTTCTTTGGAAGGCCTTTCCTTTCTCCAGTGTCCATATAGAAAGGCTAAGTTCTTAAAATGGTGGTTAAAATTAGATGGTCTGAAAATGTACCATTGTTGTTAAAGGTCCTTTGCCTGATGGAACGATACATTCCTGCAGAGCATTAACAACTCTGTCTTCAGGGACCCACATATTTGACATCATTCTGCATGAAGTACAGCACCTCAGGGTGCCTGTCTATGGAACGAGATGTTTGCTGATATATTTTAGCTAAATCAAGGAGGTTTCCTTACAGACATTATTCATGTTCACATGGATGGCGCATTGTGCTAATGCTGGCAGCGTCACTCTGATTTCCCTTGGAACAGGGAGTGCGACAAACTTGGTTTGTAGCTCATGCCTGGCTGAAGTCCTGCCTGCGTAGTTTCTTGAGCGTAGCTACTCTCCATCGCTGTGTCTTCTATTTAATGGGTGTTGTTTTGCTGAAAACTTTCATTTTGTACTGATCCCTTTTATTAAATCCAGAGACTGACATTTACTGGGACTTGAGCTCTAAAGGGAATGACTGTGTACAACTGAAGGATCAGTAGCTGATTTATTTTTAAAATCATGTTTAAAAGATGCACTTGATGCTAGTGGGGAAGGATAGGGGCTACCCTTCCATAAACATTTGGTGGTAATAGGAGAGCTCTTCACACACACCGCGGTCCTTTCCTCCCAGTGGCAAAATACCTTTGCTGTTGTTTTGCTCCTCTGAATACATTAAGACTCATTAATGACTGAAGAATTCAAAAGATGGTTTCTAAAGGACACGAGCTTCAGTCACTGACTTTTCACCAAGATTCCAGCAACACTGGAGTTATTAACAACAATTTTAAACGAAAGTTTCAGAAAGGGGGGAAAACCACATAGCTCCAGACTTCAGCAAGAGACCATGCTGACTACAAACCTGACTTTCTGCACTGTGTCAGTTAACAAGAACACACAGCTCCAAGGAGTTGCTTGTTATTTGCTTAGTGCTTTGACGTGAATGACTTGACAGCTGTAGAAGTTCGTAAACTCCTTGGCACTCCAAACTTCCAACTCTCAGCAAAAAAAGACAGAAAAAATATCTCCATCCAACCCAAGAGCCAATCCATATGGAAATGGGTCACTTCACTAGCCCAAAGGGCTCTCTTCATAAGAAAAAAAACAAAGCAATTTATTATTTGCTAAAACCCCTAAAGGTCTAAAAATATTTAACAGAAGCTTTTCAAAGCAATCCATATGGGCCTTCTCCAGGTTTTCTTGATTCAACAAGAAAGCTGAACTTGCTCCATAGCAATAAAGAGGGTCAACCTAGAATCATGGATGTTAAGGAGGAGCATATTTATCTAGAAAGGCAGGCTTAAACATTAAAAGAGAGAAACCACTGCTGGCCTAGAAGGCTCCTATACTGGGCACAGGTCACGAAGAGTTCAAGAAGTACCAAAGGTGTACACAGGTTAGTTACCAGGCTGTTTGCTCTTCATGAGCACTACCAACAAATAATGGAGAGTGCCTATAAAATTACACTGCCTCTTTATCTGCAGAGTAAGAGGCAGAGAAGTTCAATGTTGCCTTCACCTCTAATGCAACCTCCAGAAGCTAATCCTGTTCTGTCCTGCTTTGCCTTTTCTATTGCTGGCTTTTAACTGGAGACAGAATACGGGAAACCAAGAGCGTCCTCATTATGTTTAAAACTCGGACACTTCACACTTGAACCAAATATACCATCTCATTTCATGCCACTCCCTGAAAAACCATTGTGTTCAACATCTCATAACCATGTCAGAATGACATCTCATTATTTCTTTGTCTACTCCTGCCAGCCCTCCTATTATGCATCTGGATTGACTCAGATAATCCCAGAAACAAAATACATTTTCACTTTCTCTGTCAGCATCTTGGAAGCTATTATTAGGAATCATATAATTTCTATTAGAAAAGTGAGCTCCTGAAATTAATACTTTACAATAAAAGGACACATTTAAATAATGTTTCTTTTCATTTCTGTAACTCCAAGAAACCTCACGTTTATTGCAAAGAAACTAACATCTTTACTTAAACAGCAAATTAATATACAGTATAAGAAAATATTTCCATAAAAAAGTACAACTCAAGACCTGTCCCAAAAATCCTCTTCTGCAGAAAAAGAACTGAACAGTATCATGAAAACAACGTTATTTATCTATTAAATGTAGGATAAGTTACCTGACAGCTTTAATTCATCTATTTCAATCACTGAACGGTTTTCACCAAAATGTTGACTAAGCAGATTTTGTAGATCTGCAGGGACACCAGGTTTTGGAGCAGATTTTTCCAGAATATCAGAAATTTTCTTCTGAAAAAACAAGTAAAATGGGTAAGTATAGCATTTCTGTAATTTCTGCTCTTTGGCTAGCTAACAACACTGTAAATAAATATTACTCCATAACTTTATACTGTTATATTGGCTTAACTACAGCTTAATTAGAAAACACGTTACGATGGGACAACATTCCCATCATCTTTAGTGGGAATGCAGAGTTCAGATGCAAGTTCAGATACTTTCATGAGATGATCTGTGAGCCCAAAGACAAAAAACTCTTGTGCACTCACCTGAAATGCTGCCGTAACAAAAACGGTTTGTCTGAAAGCTGGTTTTGTTGAGTTTTGCTGCTGTTACACTTCAGTATCAGTTTGAAAATTCAGGGTTTTCTTATAATTTGTTTTAATTTATTATTCTTAAAGCATAACAACAGGAATCAAGTGATTATGTAAGTCTTTGTTATATTTTTATTAAAACAGGGTAACTATCTATCTATTTTGGAAGGAAAGATGGTTAGCTATATTCACAGAATGCCATGCAAGTGTGATGAAAATGAGTTAAAAGCTCACAAAACCAGAAGTCAAGCAGAAAGAGTTCAGCAGCTGCTTTGTTCTTCCAAAATGTATAATTCTTTAAACCAAACTAATAATTTTGAGAGCCTGGACATGAGTTCATAATGATTGTGGTTTACACCTTAGGAATGTTAGCCAATATCAGGTCTGAATTTTCACTGAAGTGAAAGTGTTGCCATATTTTTTCCCATAATCAAATAGATCATCGGGGTGGAACAGCCCAGGGTTCCCATTCTCTGAATGATCTGCCAGCATTTAAGAAAACAGCAGATTTTCAAGGATAGAGGCAGACTGGAGAGAACGGCAAGAACGTGAAGCCTCTCTTGTTCTCACTGCGAAGTGATTCATTTGTGAAAGGCAAGCTCAAGGTTTCTCAGCTGCGCAAGCTAGACTGAACTTGCCATCATGAGGATGCATGGCAGCATAAGCCTAGAAGCGAACAGGAGCAGGAGAGTGTGGTTAGGGCGGAGCAATAGGGTACGTATCTGTGAGGGAAAGTGAGATTTCACAAAGAGATGAGGTGGGCCTGGAAGCATTTTTGGCAGCTTTGGAGGGGTGGTGAGTACCTTCAGTGCAATTTTGGCAGGCTAAGATCTGGGGCAGCACAGATCAATGGAAATTTTGAAGAGAGCTATAGCAGGAATTTTAGTGTAGGGGACAGATCTTTTTCTATCCCTCTTTCCAACCCACTCCCCTCCTTGTCTTCCATTCCCCACCGCTCCATCTCTCTCTTGCCCAATACCCCAGATACTCCCATAACAGCAGCATAAGGGGCAGAAGGCTGAACAGGGGAGAGCCACACAGGGGCTGCTGGAGCCGCTCTACCCCACAGCAAAGGCAACGTAGGCAGCTGCCTCTCCCAGCCATCTGCCACTCTGGCCACGGCTTGTTCCACCTCTGCTAAACACCAGCTGCACGTTTGCAAGACCCCAGCTGAATCTTTGACCGTGGGATACACAGAGATGAAATGCCTATGCCTTCCTCTCAGTCTACCTTTGGCCTGGTGCAAAGCCCTCTGCAGTCCCTGGAAGACTTTCCAGCGGATGTCTGGCTGTTGAGCAGGTTTTTGCCATGTGTGAATCTGCAGCATTCCTTCCCAAGTTTCACCCTCATTTGGCACTGTTGTATTTTTCTGCCATGCAACAACTGTCTTCCCAAAGAATGACCAGAGGCCATCTGCAGCATACACAGCCTTTGCATGAGGCCCACAACCGAACCTCTTCGTTGTTCTTCCTATCACCCACAACTGCTCTTCTCCAGCCCCACAGTCTGCCTCTTAAGTGACCCACATTTGGGAACCTCTGATTTAGCAGACAGCAAGACAGAACTATCAGGCTCATTTTACTTGGTAATTCAGCACACGGCGCCATTCCACAGGACCATTACGTCATTCGTTGGGCCACTTGGTTCCTTCAGGAAAATTATGGCACTCTGGAGGGGAGAAGCCTGATGCTAACGAGAAATTCTGTTAAGACCAAGAGCAAGGACACCTGAGCAAACTCTCTTCCTTCAAGGAGAGCTGTGGGGAAATGTTCCTCATGCAGGAAGTTTTATTATTTTTCTTCCAATTCATTCCAGATGCTTAAAAGCAAAGGGGTTTTTCCCCCCCTTTTCCTTATTATCGGAGAGAGCACTTTGTTTGGAACCCATACATCAACCTGATAAATACTTCCTGATGGATTTTTTGACAGGCTGTGTATGTCAACTTAGTGGCCTAGCCCCACTGAAACCAAAGGTGTAACTAAGCACCTATTGTTTGCCTGAGAACGGGGTGTTTTTGTCAGGTTTGGTTCACCAATCTCTGTCATTGGATGCTTTCGCTCTGGCAGCAGTGGAACAAGTGCTGTGGTCACTTCTGCCAGAGCTGCATTTAAAGCTAAATCCCACTCTTCCCTCTTCCCATTCCCTGGATGATTAAGAGGCCTGACAAAATATAAGGCCACCTCTCAGCCTTATGCTATTTACAGTCTGTCCTGAAAGACAATTAAGTTGCCTGGTGCCATGTATCTTCCATCTAGACTGCAGAGTGTGTTTGTTGTCGAGGGTGAGGATGGAGCATGGCCAGAGGAACAATACAGAGTATTTATTTATATACTTATGCTATGAGGAGAAGAACGAACAAGGACAACTCTTGGCTTAAAAGATGTAACAGCAGCTGGAGCCTGACCACACCACGGAAATGCGGCAGATTCTGCAACAACTGAACTTCCACCTTTCTTTAATGCAGTTACATTTGCCCAGTGTGCAACACTTGCAAGTGGGGTGTAGACATATACAACCCTTGAGCGGCATAGACACAATGCCCCAGTTCAGGTTGGGAATGGGTATTTTGAGTGAAGTCAAAAAAGTAGGAATTTCTATTCTTCTCTAAAAGAGGCTGCAACATTATGACCATATTATTTCTCATCCTCACAGGGTTGTCCTAATTCTGAATCTTGTAATAGCACGTACACCCACTGCCCAGTCCCCAAACACACTCTAGGACATTCATACCTTCTTTCTCCTCTTTGCCTTTACAGCACTCTCTTGTTTTTCTTCAGGCTGACTTAGAAAACACTCTGTAGGCTGCAAAGCACATATTAAAAAAAAAAAAGTAAGAAAAAGATTCAACATCAGATATCTGATCACCCTGGGGGAAAAAAAAAAGTCAACAAAGGGAGGTAAGAGGGGATACATAAAGTATAATGCTGGGTTAGGAAAAACCAAACAAAACCAAGCTTTCCCACCTGTAGAAGGGATCAGATTCTTACAGTTACATATATCTGGAGTAATTTTGGAATTGAGATCTATGTTGTTGTAACCAAGAGGGGAATAAAAGAACAGAAAATTGAAACACACAGGCTGTAGTCACAATTCCATAAAATGGTGGAAAGCAAGTTTCGATACATAAAAAAAAACCCAAGAGAAAAACATGAACAACACCTTTCACAAATTTTATATTTTAAATCTCTGTTATTGTGTGTGATTGTTTTTCTAAACTTTGCCAATAGTGCTCTAAAATAACTGGGTCTAAGGTGAGCATCCAGACGGTGAAAGATACCACAGAACTGGATGAGAATAATTGGAAACAATCATGCTCTGGATTTCCTTTTACATTTGTAATGCAAAATTTAGGAAAACATGTTTCGAATTTGTTCTGCCCCATTCTTGCTTTGTCTCCTCATAGCAGGCAGGGTCAAATACACACAAGAAAAATACATGGTGCATTTCAGAATAATCTTCATCCAACATGTGTTGCTCTTATTAACCCTCTTTTGTGCCTGAGTGAGCAGGCTGAATCGGTCCATTTGTACCAGAGCCCCTGTTCACATAAGCCAGGGTTAGGATTTGTCCTTAGCCATCTAAAATTGTCCAAAACAGAGGAAGCAAGGCACAGGCTTTCCTTGTTTTGAGCATAGCAATTCTCTTTTCTTTTGCCTTCTTAGGGACTTCCGCTTCATGGAAATGCAAATTAATCTACGTAGACAGGCTTTAGAGCTTAATAAGTGACTTGATGAAGAGCAATGGGGAAATAGGCTGAGCTGCAGGGAAAAGTTCCTTGATACTAGGATGCATTTGGCTGGAAAAATCTGCTCCTGTGAGAAACCACGGAGAAGTCTCATCACATGGAGCATTAAAAGCTCAGGAACAGCAAATCCAGCAGTGCTCCCTGGGGAAAGCCCGGAAGAAAAGTATCAGC